TTCATTTTTAAATTTTGAGAGAGGGTCTCACTGTGTTGCTAAGACATCCAGGCTAGGTTTGAACTCACAATCTTCCTGCCTCAGTCTCCAGAATACTAGGATTATAGACGTGTACCACCATGCCTGGCTGAAAGAGGTAAATTTAAAATAAAATATTACATATAGTGATATACAATACTATCTTCAGAGATGGTCCAGGCTGAAAAGGTAACTGAAGTGATGGGTGACTGAAACGTTCTAGTGGTCAGGCTAACTTTTTGACTTACTACTTTCAGGAAGACAATCATATTCTTCTACAATTAGCTTTTTTAGTCTCATCATCAGTGACATGATTACTGACCTGGGTGAATGATGAATTAAAAAAATATTTACTGAGTGCTTACTATGTGCCAGGGAATAAGGGGTTATCCTCCTTTATTGTCTCATCCTGGGGGACATTATTTGGTCTTCTGCTTCCTTTATCATTCTTATACCTCTTTTGAGTACTAAGTCACATAAATTCCCAAGGTATATGAGGTTTTAGGAATCTGGATTTTTTTTTTTTTCTGTGTTGGGGATTGAACCTAGGGCCTTGTGCATGTGCTTTCAGGCAAATAAGTGCTCTACCACCAAGCCACATCTCTAGCCCTTGCATGAGATTTTGGAGATTACCTGTGGAGTGCTCAGAATGGCTCATGAGAAGCACAGATACATGTGACTGAATTCCATAGGCTTTACCTGTTATGATTTATGGGCAAGATGAATAGATGTAGGTGTCACTTGGTTGAGAAGCCATTCTACCCACAGTCTTCCTGGCACACTGGGCAGGCTGTTGCAGAGATTTTGTCTGGTCATTTGTGTTGGAGGTTTGGATTACAGAAGATATTTATAAATCTGCGGGTGACAAAGCTGAGGCAAGAGGGAGAATGTATGCTACATAGTGCAGTAAAGATGTGATGAGATGATCAGCTAAGACAATGGTCTAAAGTTGGAAAAGGATAAATGCAAAACCCTGCTTTTATGTTCTAAAAACTCAATGATACAAGTAGATGATAGAGAAAATCTGGCTTGATGGCAGTTGGGGGAAAGGGCGGCTCACGCAATGAGTTAAAGAAGCAACACTGCTGCCATTAATAGTCTTGCAATTGTAGGCTACATTAAGAGAAGTGTTTGAGGGCCAGGGATTTAGCTCAGTGGTTCCAGCTCCTGTCTTGCAAGCACAAGGTTCCAAGTTCTATCCCTGGTACCCAAAATAAATAAATAAATAAAAGAAGTGTTTGAAATAAATATGAGCCCTGTGCCAATGGTGAGGTGACATCTGGTCAAGTGTGGGGAGCACATTTTAAGAGGAATGTGGCAAACTGGACAAAGTCTAGAGACTGATGTGTATGGGGAAAGGCCTGGTGGAAGGAAGAACACAATGGTGATCTTCAGATATTTATGGAAGAGGGATTAGGTTTATCCCAACCAGCTTGAAAGCAGTGATTTGAATGAATAGGAGGTTATAGGGAACCGAGTTTCCACACAAAGTTAATGGCCAGTGCTTCCAACAAAGTATGTGTGTGTGGGCTTCCTTGAGTGGTCTGAGCCCAGTGAAGTCCCTTCAAATGTTCAGACAAAGCCCAAACTGGCCACTTATTGAGAGGGGAGAGGTAGAAGGGTGTAAACAAAAAGGCTGAGAGTTAGAAAACTGGGTTCAGGTCCCGTCTCCGGTTATAAATGTATAAAATGTTATTCATGCCAGAGCCCTATAAGGCTGTAATTCTCTAAAGTTTCTTCTTTACCTTAGTTTGTGTGTGTGTGTATGGGGGGTTGAACATGTGCTTACTCTAGAGTACAGGCTAAGCATGTACTCTGCCAGTGAGCTATAACCCCAGCTGCTACCTTAATGTTGGATTCTACAAGCTTCAATTCCACATTTTATGGATGAACTGAGGTTTAGAAAAGGGATTTGCCCAAGATAGTATAGTCAGCTAGTGGCAGAGCTGTATTTAACATACATCTCTCAACTTCATGCTCCTTCTGCCTCATCTCTCTACTTCTACCCATGATTTATTTTAGCACTTGTTTCCCCAAGGTCCCAGTAAATGCTGTATTGCCCTCGACAGATTCTTTTCCCTCTTGGAAAAAGCACCAGAAAGGCAACAGATTTGAGGTACTGAAGCCTGAGACAGTGATCCTGGAAGTAATTTTTCTGTGTATTATTTTCTCAATGATACAATGTTCACATGGGCTGCGAAGTAAAAGGGTGGCCCTAGACTTCTGGTTACCCTACATCATCTATCTCTCTTCATTCCAGAATCCATCTACTTTAAGATGGCCAACAAGAATTAAGGTATTTCCTAAGCTCTTTTGCAGCTAGATAGGATGCCACAACTAGTTTTTAGCTAGTAGGGATAAATGGAAATACTGCGTGTGCCTTATAGAAAGAGTCCTCACTGGGAGAGAGATCCTTCCCTCACCTTTCTTCCAGGACAGCTGGAATGTAGGGATGATGGCCATATCCTGAATGATGATGTTGGACTGTGAGGCAGAAGCTACATGTTGACACATACGGGGACAAGTAAGAGCTTCAGACTCGGATGACCTTGTAAGGCCCTTCATTAGTCCTAGGCACGTGCAGTGTTTCACAGTAGAGAATAACTTCTGCTTCTGCCACCATTACCATTTTCATCAACTTTGTCATTGGTTATTAGATATTATTTAATACATCACTAAAGAAGAGAAGCCACTGCCAATTAAACAGACAATCCTTCCAATTGTATGACACATTCCAACTTCAGAGAAATAAAAATGTAACAAAAGGACGTCTTATTATATAAATGCAGTAGTTTGGATTTTTGTTACAGCCAAGCCTAATCCCAACTAATTCAAGAAACACAAAGGAATGAAAAGATGATAAGTTCTAAATAATAAAAAAAAACCCCACAATAATCATGTAGAGGGAAGAACTTTCTTTGTAAGGAATGACTCATAAAGAGCAGTGACATGACTCAAGTTTATTTTTCTGCTATGGTTCCCAGTCTAGTTAGATTAACCTTAGCAATCACTTACGGTGATTTTTTGTTGGTTTTTTTTTTTTGGTACCAGAGATCGAACTCAGGTCCTTGTGCCTGAGCAGCAGGCAGCGAAAGCACTGAGCTAAATCCCCGGCCCTCACTTACAGTGATTTGGACTTGGCCATAAAGTGGGCTGGGACCCTGGAGATAAGTAAGCTGGTTTTAAAGTGTAGAAGTTATAAAGCTGATGGCTAAACCAGTAGGATCTGGCCCATTGGGGCTCCTACTCCTTGGCTTTTTCCCTTCCCAATTCTGCAGGGTTTCCTGGAATGACTTCAAGAAAGGGAGAAGTTAGTTGCTGATAAAAGCAAAAGACCCAAGACATGCTGGCAGGTGACAAGCTCCCACTTAGCAGAGATCCCAGGGAGGTACTCCAGGCCCTTTCAGAACTGGGCACTAGGAGCTATGTAAATTGAGCGGGGTCTGACACAAAGTGTAGCAGTTTTGATCCTTGGTACGGGTGCACTAACTTTAACCTAGGACAATCCGATATTAACATACCTGTTGTGATTGATACAGCAAAGACCAATGTGACAACAGAAAATCTGGCTTATTTAGAAGTGGTTATAAGATGAAATATCTGTTCTATGAATCATTAAGATAGGGCCATTTTCATGAGATAGGCCTACCCAATTATTTTAAGTAGCAAGTTACTGCATTGTTATTTAAAATGGTTGTTTCTCCTGTGCTTCTTGAATCTACTGGGACTCCAGGAGCCTTCATGGGGTTTGCTGCTACTGTGCTGTGGCAACCATTTACTAACAGTCTACATGTGACGAATTTTTTTTTTGGTACCGGGGATCGAACTCAGGTCCTTGCGCTTTCGAGGCAGGCAGCGGAACCACTGAGCTAAATCCCCAGGCCGACAAATTCTTTATGTCTTTTAATACATCAATTCCATGAGTAGGTGTGGTCTTACTTTTAGTTAACATAATCCAGGCTTGGAGAAGTTGATGAACTTTCTCATGATAACAGAGCTGTTAGGTGGGCTACAATTGGGTGTCAGATACTACAGAAACAGGCCAAAAACTTCAGCTACTGATATGACATAAAGTTCTGCTAAGGAACTGTCTTGTCTTCTTCCATTCAAAAGGTCCATCTGGCATTGAATACAACTATTCTGAAGGAAAGCTTTTTCTGAAAGCAGGGCGGGGAGAAATGGTGAGAGATGTACTAGATAAGCATCCTATTACTCCAGGCCATACTTGTATTATGTTCTGGCAGGTGTCCAATGGCCTATATAATAACCTGGCAGCCAGAGACTTCTGCCAATGACAGAGGTCCAAGAGCTCCACCAGAACATTCTCATAGTGGATGGAGGTGGGCTGCTGTCAGCTCACTGCCCCTTCCTTATGAAATAGGTCACATGACTTTTCACTGATGCAACATCTAATAACAATATTCTAAAATTTTAGAGATTTTCTGTTCATCTCATTTCATGCATACACTTTTTTGCAAAGAAAAAAATTCCCTACACACCCTTATTTAACTTTGCCAACATTCTGAAGAAAGTATGTTATAATGAATCATGGGAATCTCTTTTATGATCTCATGTTATACATATCAAAGTAGCTCAGCTAGCCAGGCAGGGGGTGCATGCCTGTAATCCCAGCACTCTGGGAAGCTGAAGCAGGAGGATCACAAGTTGGTACCCAGCCTGGGCAATTTAATGAGACCTTGTCTCAAAAAAAAAAAAAAAAAAAGGGCTGAGGATATAGTTCAATACAAAGGCTCTGAGTTCAGTTCCACTACCACACACACACAGTTTGACCAGTAAAAGTACTGATCCAATCCTCATAGGATGGATTCTAAACTTCCTAATTTCAACAAACTAAAAGCCCTACCAAATGATTTCCTTTAGACTGAAGTATATCAATAAAACTTCATATCCAAATACATTATATTTTTCCTCAGATACCAAAATACAAAGACACAAGACTAAATTTCTTTTAAATTATTTTATTTTTGTGTAAGCTAAAAGGAAATTTACACACTGAAATCTCAAAAGACCTTGGGCATGCACATTAACCTTGTTAGAGGTTCTTCTACATGTCTCTCTTTTTTCCATAGGAATTTCCCCAAACATTTAAAACCCATAGTTTTTACTGTATATACAGCCTAAACCATAGCAATCTATGATTATGTCATTTTACACTGTGCAAAATCCTCATAAACTAGTGGTATGACAGAACAACAACAACAAAAAATCAGTAACAATTTCATTGTAAGACATTCATATAATTTGGTCCTTCTCTAAATTAAATTGATGTAAAAACAGACACAATCTCTTTAAACCCCTCCAATCAAGTTCCAACAATGATCTATACCCTATAACAAAAGAGTAACTGATGAGATACCTTGCAAAAGGTCAAATAGCTATATGCCACACTGACAAGAGTAAAAAAGAGCCCAAAAATATTAACAAATGCCAGATCTGAAACAAATCATCACACACAAAATTTTAAAAAAATCAAACAAGGACTCTGGAGCTTATTTATGACAGTGAAAGTAATTAAACATAGGATATGAAAAATTAAGAGGCCATTCAATGCAATCTGAAAAGACTGAAGGGGATTTCACAGACAGTGGAGATTTGAGTTTTTAATTTTCTTTTTTTATTTCAAAAGTTTTATAAGAAGGACACCACCAGTGTATTTCACAAAGACATAAATGTATATACCCCAGCAACACAAAAAGAATAAATCTTCAAAAATGTTCACCCCCAATTATTTACATTTTTTTCTAATATAAATTTAGGACTTCAGTATGTAAATAAATATACATTACTATGTATACCTTTCTAGTGCGGCTTACCAACAAATCAGCTGAACTTGAATTTTTTTATTATTTTTTTTTTAGTTAAGAGCAGATATGCTTTTGATGGTAGGGAAGAGATGGAAAAGAAAAGCATTGCAACCGTCCAGTTCACAGCAGTTATCAGTCTGCTTGTCCTTGGGAGCTTGTGGAAGGTGTTAATGTGGCTGGGAACATCAACACCTTGGCATGCATGAATGTCAAGTCAGGAAGGCTGGCAATCACCTTGATAGCTTCTTCACTCAAGTGTTCTTCTCTTTTTGGTTTCCTATTGACAAATGAAAAAGGACAAGGGCGTTAATAAGACTTCACTATAGGTCAAATGGAAGAAAATCCACTCTGAGGCAGGCAGTTAGCAATCTTTGGGACATCTTTTCCTCTGCTACTTCCTGAATCTTTTAATTCTCCTGTGTTCTGTGCTCCCTGAAACAGATGCCAAATCTCTTACAAAGAACAATGCATGACCTCTTTTGGAATGTACACTAAAGCTCAGTATGTAGCTACTTGCATGTACATGTGTATGGCTCACAGCTTTACTTAAGGGTGCAAACATCTACCCAGACATAATTTTAAAAAGCTACTAAGGAGAAGTATAGTGCCAAAGCCCCAATAACACTACGCCCATCTGGATCTCCCCCAGCCCACTGTGAAACTACCAAAATTATCTCCACATAAAATGTGGGTGGCACAAGGAATCATGAGTCATTTTAACCTTAGGCTTTCTGTATCCCCAGTGGGGAATTCCAGGAGAAAGGCTTCAGCCCAGATGGGATGCAGGCAGTGGCATGAGGGCTGGATGCAGGTAGGAGGCCACGGGAAGCAATCTCCAAATCCTGTGGACCCTGTAGATGAAGTCTATTTTACTACACCTGCTGCCTGTATGAATTGTGAGCAGTGTGGGACCCAGCACAGTTACGAAACTCTCTTGGTAAGCAGGGCTGTCCTAGTAGTAAGCTGTAGAAAATGCTAAATGAGCCTCCAAAGTGGCTCCAACTGAGAGTGGGATTGTAATTCAAACTGTTTCCCCCTCCCCCCAGGATGGTAAATATATCGAAGGAATAGTTATATAGGTTATTAATTTTAGATCAAAGATGATTTTAAATTAACTGTAGAAAGCCCAATTCTCTTTTTATGATAAAGGACAGTTGGTACTCTCTTAGATGTAACACAAGTCATTTCTTCACCTAAATATTTTCTTTGTCCTTGGGACAGGGAGCAAAAGTTGGGAGTGAGGCAAAAGAAAGGAGAGATGCAGGCCTCTATTTAATACCTAGACTTGTCTGTTGTTATCACTTTTGAATGCAGGCTGAACTTAAGAAGACTTTATAGAATGAATGAAAAATCCAATAACAGTCTTCTAGGACCAAAGTTCTTCAAAAATTAAACAATTTCAGGCATTAGATCAACCATTTCAGGCAGTAGATCAATACTGAACTCAGTTCTAGGTTTCTGAGAAGAATTAGCAAGTCAACATTTTTTTGGTTTAAAACTAACATTTTCAAATGCACTTATATGGTAGCAATACTGTTATGTGGATGTTTGATGTGGAACTGGATATTTATATCATTCCAAAGTCAAACTAGCTTTGTTACTTTTAGCTTGAAAGTGAAAAACTGGAACCATATAATGAAAAAGGTTAGCTTTTTACCAAAGGTCAAGCTTAGCACTGCTAATAATGCAGGCAGCTTGATACTAGGTGTCTTCTGATGTGACATAATATTTATGAGGTGGTTTAGCCAAAATGTTAACGCTGTACTTGTAAGCCTTTAGATATAATTTATAAGAAATGAGGGGAAGCTGGGCGTGTGGTAGTGCATGCCTGTAAGCCCAGCACTTGGGAGGCTGATGCAGGAGGATCACAGCAAGTTCAAGGCCAGCCTGCACTACAAAGTGAGACCCTGTCTCAAAAGAAATCAAGGAAATAGAAAATACCGTATTACTTGAAGGAAGCAAACAGACAAATGTAGAGCTTAGGACATTCAATAGTAAACTGGACAGGTGTTTTAATATAGTATTATTAAACAGAAAGCAAAAGGGATGGGAGAGAGATACAATGTTAAAAAGAATTTAAGGGTTCTAATGGCCAGGTACAATAGTCCTGGATTGAATATTGGTTTTGTACAATGTAGAAAGGACATTGTTGGCATAATGTGACTGTAGCTGGGTATTTCATAAAATGAAAATGCACTGAAATTAACAGATGTGTATCACTGACTACAAGTGTAGGTTCAATTCAGTACGGACAATAAAATCTCATTTTGGTTAAAAAAAAATACACATGTATAGGTGCATGGAAAAAGATTTGAAAGAAGAGTAAGTGATCTAAATGTTAAGAATGTGATACTTTATTTCTAGCTTCCTTTAATATGCCTTACTTCTTCCATAATGAAAAAAAAGACTATTTAAAATAATAACAAAATTGTACTTAGACAGACTTCCCCATTTGTGGAGTGCAGGTGAGGTGTAGGAAAGGACAGGAAAAAAAAGAAAAAAGAAGTAAAAGCTTTTAACTAAGACACAGTTGGTAAAGATTATTCTAGTATTTCTACCAACTGTTTTATTTCAGAGGCACTACCTTAGGAAACATGAAGTTGTATTTTAAAATTTCAAAAAGCTTACATAATTTATAGTTCGTGCATTTGTAGTCATTGTATGTTTATGTGAGCTAGTCTTAGAATCTTAGAATATAAGAAAGAAAAATGCTTGACGAGAATTTGAAAACAGTTATATCATGACCTTTTCTCAAAGTCAAAGGCAGTGACCTAATTTTTTTCTATATTCTCTCTAGCTAAGATTTATCCTTTTTGTCAGCAGAATACAATTAGGTCCAGAAATAAACATCTATGATTTTTCTGTTGTTTATAAACAAGCATGCCAAGACCTTTCAATGAGGGAAAGAATAGTCTTTTCAACAAACAGTGCTGGGACAACTGGATATCCATATACAAAAAAATGAATATAGATCCCCTACCTCACACCATATACAGACATTAATTCAAAATGGATCAAAGAACTAAATGTAAAAGTTGAAACTATGTAAAATTCTTGGAAGAAAACCTAGATATACATCTTTCTGACCCTAAATTAGGCAATGGTTTCCACAAGTATAGCAGCAAAAGAATAAAAATTTATATATATTTGTGTTTCACAGGCTATTAAGAGTAAGGTAATCCATAGAATAAAGGAAAATCTTTGCAAATTATCTGATAAAAGTTGGTACTTGTACCAACTCCACATAAAGAGTATAAATATTATGTACTGCAAACATGTACCAAAAAAATAAATAAATAAAAAGGAAGGGGGTCAAGAGATGGGTGTTAGAAGAGACAGGGAGGAGATGGGAAGGAGATGGAAAAAGGAATTAAGATGTGTTTACATACATGTACCAACTTCTGACATGAAGGTAAACATTATGTATTGCATGCATGTACTAATAAAACTTAAAAGGCTAGTAGTCATAATATGGAAATAACTCATGAACTGTCTAATAAAAAGATAGGCAAAAGATCTGGATAAATATTTCTCCAAAGAAGACACACAAACGGTCAATAAGCACGTGAAAAGATGCTCAGAATTATTATTTTTCAACTACCAAGTTTTTGTCTATTAAGATTGGAAAATGACCAATTATGCTAATGAGAATAAATACAGATGAGCCCCCATTTATTTCTATCTCTATTTGGTTCTCACTGTTGGCTTGGAACACATGGAAGAAAATAAGTTCACCCCTGCTATCTCTGCTCTGGTTGGTTGGTTGGTTTTGTGCCTCCCCACGCCCCTGGTACCAAGGATGGATCTCAGGAGCTTGCGCTTGAGAGGCAGGTGTGGCACCACTGGATGCTCAGAATTATTAACCATCAGGGAAATGAAAATCAAAATAGATATCATTCCACACTCACTGGAATGACTATAACCAAAAAATCAAGACAATAACAACTACTGGTGTGGATATGAACTAGAATGCTCACAAATTATTTGGAATATAAAATGGTGCATCACCTTGGAAAAGTTTGGCAGTTCCTCCAAAAATTAAACATAAGCTGGGTGTGGTGGCACATTCCCATAATCCCAGCTACCTGGAAGACTGAGGCAGAAGGGCTACAAGTTCAAGGTCAACCTGGGCAACTCAGTGACATCCTGTCTTTAAAAAAGATGGTGGTGGTAAGCGGGCTGAGATGTAGTTCAGTGCTGAGTTCAATCCCCAGCACCACAAAACAGAAATTAAACATAGATGCAACAAATCTACTCCCAAGAGAATTGAAAACATTTGTCCACACAAAAACTTGTACGTAAATGTTCTTAACAGAATTATTCATAGTAGTCAAAAGATGAAAGCAATCTAAATGTTCACCAATTAATAGATAAAATGTGTTATTTTCACATAATGGAATATTATGCAGCCATAAAAGGAACAAAATACTGTACATGCTATATGGATGAACTTGAAAACACAATGCTAGTGAAAAAAGTCAGATAGAAAAGATCATGAATTGTAGAATTTCATTTATATGAAATAAAACTAGAGTATGAAAATCCATGAACAGCAGATTAGCAGATTAGTGATTGCTAGGGTCCAGGGAAAGGAAGGTAGAGGGCGTGACTACTGACCGATATGGAATTTTTTTGAGGGGAATGACGAAAGTGTTCTAGAATTAGACAGTGATAATGGTGGCACAATATTATGAATATACTAAAGGCAGCTAATTATACACTTGAGAAAGGTGGATTTTATGGTATGTAAATTATATCAATAAAAGAACAAAAAAAGAAAAATTTATTCCTCCTGGTAACTAGTCCTTTGATTTGAATAAGTTCCAGTTAGAGGTCTGTGGCTACTAGCCAGTTGGCTAGCCACTCACTGATTTAAATTAGAAAATAATTTTTTTCCATATTAGAAAAGGTAAGGAAGAAGACAGAACTAAAAAAACTAAAGTGAGAAGTTCCTTTCACAATCTGTGTTCTGAAAAAAGAAAAGTATGTTTGTTTCCTTGCATATTTAAAGGCTCTTAGAACAGTGCAGGATGTTAGGTCCAGGTCAAAAAACCTAAACCACAATTCTTACGTGTTTCCTACCTCACAGTTCCTCACACAGCTTTTTCACTCTATCTTCTGAGTACTGTCAACAGTGACAAGATTTTGGTGACCTTTACTTTCTGTACTTTATTCAAAACAAAAAGGGAAATGGAACAAAATCTAAAAATGACCAAAATGTTGAAAATGCTTTCTGAAACAGCTGTCTCCTCCATGTACAATTAAGAATTGTTCAGGAAGACATTTTTTACTATGACTTTAAATGCTTGTGGTTATTGGCACTTCTCACCATTTTCAAACAACATACATTCCTCACAGCAAAAACAAAGTCAGCAACTTGTTTTCAGTTTGTTTTATTTTAAATATGAGGCTGAACAGGTTCTAGAAAGTAAATCAGGGCCGGGGATTTAGCTCAGTGGTTCTGCTGCCTGCCTCGCAAGTACAAGGGCCCACGTTCGATCCCCAGTATCAAAAAAAAGAATTGACAGAAAGTAAATCAATGCACCATAACATTACTTCCCTTCCAGGATTGATACTATAGTTTTAGTTTATTCTTTTAGCTCACAATAAGGAAAAAATGAGAACATTCCTTAGTATATATAGGATGTTTCAAGGATGAGTTAAAACATTAGAACAGCAAGCTAAAATGTGGTTTAGAGCTCCTCCTAATGGCACAAAGAATGACTTTGCATCATTGGGACTGACAAAATTGTTTGGCACCCAGTGACTGTAGGGTAAAAAAGGTAAACAGTAAACAGTAAGGTCATTCCAGAAATAGCAAGGGAAAAGCCCACACAACAAATCTCATTAGTCCAGTGATCAGGGAAATGTCAGTTAAACCAGTAGGTTGACATTAGATTGACAGTAACTTAAAAAGTGTGTGTATAGAACTGCTCTATAATTTTGCTGATGGGATATAAATGGTTACCAGCTTGGAGCACTTTAGCAGTATTTCTTTTAATTTTTATTTTAATTAGTACAGGTTCGCAGTACATAATGATAATATTCATTGTGTTAAGTTGATAAAGATACATAAAACTCTTAATTCTTTTTATTTCCATCCCCCTTCTCCTCTTCCTTTCTTCCATCTCTTGGTCCCTTTCCCATTTGCAAAAGATCTATCTCCCTGTTTCCTATTATTTATCTTTTATTTTGTTCTCTAATTTATTTATCCTTTGAGTTTCTTATATAAGAGAAACCAGGTGATATGTAAGCTGGTATGTCTGATATTTCCCTTAACATTATGGTCTCAAGGTTCATTCATTTTCCTACACATGATTCAAATTTACCCCTTATAATTGAGTAGTACTCCATTATGTATAAATACCATATTTTCTTTATCTATTCATCTGTTAATGGACATGTAGGCTGCTTCCAAGATTTAGCCATTATGGGTTGTGCTGCTATAAACATGGGTATGCACGTATCACTGTAATGCAGTGTCTTTAACTCTTTTGAGAAGATACCTAGAAGGGGAATAACTGAGCCAAATGGAATTTCTATTTTTAGTTTTTATGAGGAGTCTAATTTTGAATTTAACATGTATACGGCATGTATTTATTCAAGTGAAAACAATATTCTCTCCAAGTGGGCAATTAACAGGTAAATATTCCTCTTTAAAATACTGATGAATTATGGATTTGGAAACATAGCTGGCATGCCAACCTGTATTTGCACTTGCAGTAGGGACTGCCAGCCTCATAATTACATTTCTATTAGGAACTGGTTTATTCTTGTGGTTAATTTATCAAAGCAGTGGATTATTCCAATATTTAATTATGTAAAATTAAAGGTTTCCTCAATCCTAACTATAAGGCCCAAGTGATAATACTTTGTTCTGATCTTTGGTTCTAATACTGGGAGAAACTGCTTTTCAAGGCCATGTTCCTAAAGAGGCTCCCAGGAAGCTTGGTAAAGGAAGGCTTTATGTCCCAACTCAAGCGTGCACATCCATGGAAATTAGGAAAATACTACAGAAGAGTGACTATTATTCTTATCCTGGAAGAGAAAAAATTATCCTAGGGGACAATAGGCAATCCCAAAGATGATCATGATACTTAGGACGGGCAAATGAGGAATGTTTCTACAATGGCTTCATGATCTCAATACTTAATTAGAATTATTCTCTACAATACAGGGGGCAAAAAAGAAAAAAGAAAAGCACATTTGATGGTTGGGGATGTAGTTCAGTGGTAGAGCACTTGCCTGGAATGCATGAGGCCCTGGGTTCAATCCCTAGTAGCACAAAAACAAAACAAAACAAAAAACACATTTGTCAATCCCAGTCTCTCTGCTCTAATAAAGTTCATAATTATAATTTGATACAGTTTTCTGGACTTAGGCATTACTGGCTTTTATGTATACAAAAATGAATTTTAATACATTGAAATACTGCCAACTTTCATGATTTTCCCTTTGGATTGTTTTAATTCAGAATTCAAAATTAGGGTGTAATTAACACTAGCTGTTTACCTGGTAGATGTGCTCGTCTTCTCTACTGTGGACATGAGTCTCGCAAATGCATCAGTCACTTTGAGGCTTGAGGTGGAGATTTCCAGCTTAGAGGTTGTTAACTCATACAATTCTGGATCCACACCTTATAGTATAAAATGATAGTCAGTGATGGCAAGCTGAATGGGTTCCTCAATTAGCCACAACACACGATGCAAGAGCAATATTCTATAAACATCTGAGTCTATTACAAGCACAACATAGTTTTAGAACTCTGTAATACTGTGTTTATTTTTTAAATTATAAACTGTCCTTTTTGGAATATCTATAAAACAGGAAAATGCTTTTAAAATTCCACTTTGGAATAAATATAATTAATTTAAATTTTTGTAGCAGATGTCTCCCAAATACTTCTAAAATTTCTATCACTGTAGAAAATTCCCCCAGTTTTGGATTAATGTGTAATATAAAAATTATCATTGTTTTATAAATGGAATGAACATAATTTGTTAAACAACCTTCTTAATTTTTAAATTGGCCTATAATCCTCATTTTTTGAACCTTCTTCTTTTCCTGCCTCCCATTTTTCTTATTTTCTTCCATTGTAAAAGATTTAGAAGGTAATACAAAAATCTCAGATATGAAAAAAAATCTCAAATATGGTAAATGACTTGCTTAGTTTGAATATATTATGACTATCTATAGACATGAACTAATATTCAAAGCACCCAATTATTACTAAACATACACTACATTGTTCTTTAGGTAAAAAGTGGGGAGAGTAAAACATTTTGAAGAAAAAGTGAATAAAAGTAATACTTTTAGGGCTGGAGATTTAGCTCAGTGGGTCCAGCGCCTGCCTTGCAAGTGCAAGGTCCCGAGTTTGATCCCTGGTACCAAAAAAAAAGTAATACTTTTGGATAAAGTGGAAATTCTTATCTCCAGGGTTATTTATGTTTTTAGTCTTGTCTCTGAACCTGGTAGCCAACAACAGTTCAAACATGTAGTTAGAATAATTTCAAAAGAGGCTGAGTTAGAGCATTTGATTTATTGTGAAAATCTACATAAAAAATCCACCCCATCTGATTTTACTTAAATAAACAATTTTTAATATTTTCCATGTAATATACATAAAACACTGACAAGCTGAATTATTTTTGTACTGGAGATCGAACTCAGGACCTCGCACTTGCCAGGTATGCACTGTGCCACTACTGAGCTACATCCCTGGCCAAGCTGAAACTTTTTGAAAAGTTAAATATTTTAAACTCAAGCTAAACTTTGAATAATAGATACTCAGATTAAAAAATATTCTTAATCCTATACTGCCCTTGGTTCCAGCAAACTAAAGCAAAAATTTTAGTAGTTTCAGGGTGTAAGGGAAAATTAGACTGTAAAAAAGAATATTTTATAGCTTCTTTAATTCCTGCTTCTTGTTTTGTTTTGAGACAAGATCTTGCTGTGTTGCCCAGGCTGGCCTTGAACCCCTGGGTTCAAGCGGTCCTCCTGCCTCAGCCTCCTGAGTAGCTGGGAATAAAGGTGAACACTATTGCGCCCAAGTAATTATTACAATTCTGAAGAAAAGCCTGAAAGATCAGATAAAATTATAATTATGCATATAGTTACATTACCTAGTTCCCTTCTTTAGGATATTTCAAGGTTAAGGAAAAAATCAAGAATTGCCTTCTATTAACCAACTCTGCAGCATTTATAAACACAGATCTCAGATGTTTACAGATATTAAGCAAAAGCAGCTTCCACAGTCATCAAGTTGAACAAGGAAGGAAGGCTATAGAAAATGTATGTTGACTCTCATATGTTTTGAATATTTCATTAAGGTACAATTTCAAGGTATACTTAAAAAGAACTTTTATTCTTCTGTACTAAGTATATAAAGTTGCAGTTAAAATGTAAAAACCTGTAGATGCCTGTAATGAGACCAAATGAACCCAACACAGTTTCTTCTTCTGCTGTTAAAGGTTAGATTCTGAGCAACTACAAAATTTAAACTGATTTCTAATGTACAATGCAGAAGAAAAAATTGTATTCTGACTGGCAACAAGAAAGTGCTAGTAAAAACTTAGTTGGGTTTATACAAGATTGGCCCCTTGGCTGTCAAACAGAAAAGTGGCAGATTCACAAAAATGACAGCTGGATAAAATGGTATGTGCCTATATAATCCCAGCACTCTGGGAGGCTGAGGCAGGAGGATTGCAAGTTCCAGCTCAACCTGGGCAACTTAGTTGAGACCTTGTCTCAAAAATTAAAAAAAAAAAAAGGTTGAGGATGTAGCTCAGTGTGATGGTCCTGGGTTCAGTCCTCAGTACCAGGGAAAACAAAAAACAGAAACTGCTCCCTTTTTAGCCCAAAATGATGACTTCCTCCAGATAAAAACACAATCCACCACTGAATCCACAACTATTGTTAAAGTTTTTAGAAACAAAACAACTACCAACTGTACACTAGTAATTAGGGAATAATTTTTTAATGAAAGTTTAACAGGACCTTAATGAGGCATAGTGTAGTTACAGAATTAAAGCTAGCCAACCAAGTTCTATGCCAACCTCCTAAGAAATCACACACAAAATAATTAAATAACCTCAAGTTAAGACAAAGTGACTTTCCCAGAAACAAGTCAGAAAAAAATGCAAGCACGTGGTGAAATGAATACTAAGGAAGGTGTTAATACCTGTAGCTTGATAGTTTTAACAAAACCCAATAGCAATAAGAAGCCAAAGCAAATTTATTATAATCAAATTTATACAGCAGCTAGAGCATATTAATGAAAATACTGAACAAAAATAAGATCCCAAAGTAATGAGCACTACATTTGACCATGCTGATTTCATCTGCATTGTAGCTCTAAGCTTTTGAAACCGCTTTCTGTTCTTGAAACTGTGTACCCTGAACCTGATTATCAGGTCATTTCTGTACTTGTTTGTATGGCCACATTATTTGTGCTATGAATGGTTTTTAAATGAGTTTGAAATGTAAGCAAAAATTAAAACTAAACCAGGTCTTAAGGTATCCCCAAAGAAAAAGTGACTCATTTAAATTATAATACAATTTGTGACAAAACAAAGCTGAGAGCAAATTTATAATGGGAGATTGATCATTAACTCTTAAGAATATAGAAGTGATATAAAATTTTTGGTTGCCCCCCCCTCCCATTAAATACTGTATTATGAAATGGCAGACCACTCTAGCTCCCTCAAATCATTTCACACGTGGGATATATTTATAAGTAGTTTAATAGTAAAATAAAATATCATCTTGAAGTAAAAAAAGACACAGATTGGTTTTTCATATGCTACCAAAAACTTAAAAACAATGAAAATGATAGCTAGGGGCTTAGGTTTGAAGAATGCAATCATTCTATACTGGAGGACCTTGAAGCTTCTCTGTAGCAAGACCAGGTTTCTCCACAAGATTTAAGAGAAGGGCATACTGAGGTCCCAAGCTTGTCCGTGGCTGGCTTTGTTAGGCCCTCCATCCCATCCCAGTATTCTATCATGGTTCCTAAACTGCTGGAAGTGGGTGACTGGGTTACCTAGCAGAACAGAACAAAACAAGCAAATTCTCAGGAACCAGGTTGGCTGGAAAACTGTGCAGAGAAAGGGAGCCCTACTATGCATCCTGGGCACTGGCAGGTCCATTAGCCCCCAGCGGGCATCAGTGATCAATGGGCATGATTACCAGGATCACAACTTGGGATGACAGGGACTCATTAAAAGTCATAGTAAATAAAATGTCAACATAAAAATGCCATTATAATTTTAATCTTTTATTCAGTTAGAAAATGACAAAATACATTAGTTCTTTGGTCCATGAACTGAACTTTTGCAGGGCTGAACATTAATTTAACAGGCACTCCAGTAAGTTTTAATTTCTAGCTTCTAGTATCTCATAGTAATTATTTTCTATTACTAACTTTTGTTAACATTTTATTTCTCCATGGAAAACAGTACATTTTTTTATTTAAAGACTATGTAAAAACATTAAAGTTCTATGTGGGATTATATAACTATGTGCTAGTCTCCAACATTCTAGAACCTAATTACTTGTATATATTTAGTAGCACTAATAAACAACTAATTTTTTAAAATGCTAGAATCTGTAAAGGTTGTACTATCACAGGCACTACAATGTAAAGTCATCTTTGTGTACTAAAATATTCTTGTATCTTTAAATTTTTTTCAAATGGCTTTACAGAATATGGTTTTGTTTTGTTTTTTTTTTTGGTACCGGGGATTGAACTCAGGACCCTGTGCTTGCGAGGCAGGCAGCAGAACCACTGAGTTAAATCCCTGGCCCTTACAGAATATGTTTTTAAAAATAAGCATACAAAATATCACTTTTTCTACTTAATGGAGGGAGGCCCTGCCTTTAACTGTCTAAGGACATTAGGGCTGCATTATTCCTAGAAACTACTGTCAGCTTTGAATATTACACTCTGAGAACATTTGCTTTAAAATATATTTCACGTAAGTCATTTGTAGTAGTCAGAGATTAGAAAATAGCAAGAGTAAAGAAAAGTATTTAAAAAGACATTAGAGAGAATACAATCTACTTATTTCCTTGTTTATAGGAAAGTCAAGTGTTGTGGTCATGCTTTTAGCAAATTAACTAGAATTGTGGTTTTAACACTCTGCTGACCTGGGATTGTGGTGCTGCTGCTAGAGCTACTGTCATCCACGGGCCCAAAGAAATCAAGGTTCAGAAGAGTGGAACCTCCACTAGCTTGAAATTCAGTGACCGTGTTGGTAGGCAGCCACACAGAAGGTAAGCCAAGGGAGGAGGGGTTATGTGTAAAAAGGGGTAAGACACACACTTGAACATGCAGGTTATAATTAGTAGTCATTACACATTTTAAAAATCAACATTAAAACAATGTGTACAGTATTAGTTTTTCATTACTAAGGACATTTTTAAAGTAACAATTTAATTCAATGTACATTTTCTCATGTACAATGTAAAGAATATGACACTTAGTAAGGTTTTAGTTAGGAGTTCAGTTCTTTCAATCAAAACTGGAAGCCATACCAGAAAGACCGAGGGGAAAGCATACCCGTTAAAGGGAAACAATACTTTAATCTCAACCTGACATGAAATCAATGTACATTCCCAAATCAATCTCTCATGTTAGTAATGTTGGTTTCTAATTAATGATTAAAAAAATGACAAAGTTGTCAGTTGCAGGACACGCACCAATACATTAACTCAGTTTAAAAGAACATAAGGAATGTCATAACTGCCCTACCCTGATATGCAACCTCAAGCTGTACTGTTCCCCTTTAACTCTGAAACAATCAGAAATAGTATACATTTTAAAAGAAGTTGTTTGTTAATAAAAAGCATGATGATCTGACTGAAGACAACAGACAACAGCAAAAGGTGCATCCAGGCTTTCCTTCAGCACTATAATATTCAATTGGATGCTTTCCAGATAGCTTTGGACCTCCACTTTAAGGCAAAACTGATAGCGTTTTAGACAATGGCAATAACAACTGCCATTGAGATGATGACAACAGGTATTCTTCTGGACAATTGCTCAAATAATTTAAAAAGCACAGGAGTAGGAACAATTACATCTCAGGGTCCACTGAAAACGTGAATGCTAGCACTGTATGTTACTTTAAAGACCCCCATATTACTAGAAGTTACTCCTTTTTTCAGCATTTTTTTAAAACCATAAGCAAAACTAATGCTCTCTTGGAATGGCCTACAAGCATTTCAAGATAAGTCTTAGAAAAGGATCATGAAAAGCACTCATTTTCCATCTGCATATAAGTACTCTATAAAATATTATTAAATCTGAAAACTACTGAGTCAATAAATATGGACTTATTTGGACATTGTTTTTGGTTAAATAATTGTGCTTTGTGTTTGAAGCAGCCTCTAGCCACAAGACTTTGCATCCAAGAAAATTCCATAAATTAAAACTACAGAAAAACTTTTCAATTAAATAGGTCCTAGCTAAAAATATCATTTAAACTATCTAGATATTTGTAAAAAATAAAGCTTATTTTTTACTTAAACTAAAATTTTGTCTTGCTACTACTACCTATATCTGGACATTAATATTGTTGATAATAGTAACAGCTCTGTTTCTTAGACAATCACTAATCAGAAAGAAAGCCTGAATTTCCAAGATAAGAAGTTATGTTCAAACAAAAAAAGGAAGTCAGCAGAGAGAAGTTTGTCTGAACTTTGTAGCTTTCTTAACTCTAGCTCTGGTGCTAGAGGCTCTACGGAGAGACGTACCATCTAAAGGGTTAGTAAGGCCACTGCTACTCCAGTCAAACTGGACGGGTGGTAGAGACTCCTAGAGTTGAAACCAAAAAATCAAAATTAATCAGTACAGGTTGTAGCAACATAAAGAAACCTTAAAAAATAAAAAATAAAAAATTATTATAGCAAGACCAGTAGGCAACAAAGTACCTAAAGATAAAATTGGAATAATTTATAATTTTAGAAAGTCACCTGCAAATATTAACACAAAAACCGAAATTGCAAAATTTACACACTGCACAGTTCATTGACATTAAAAATGTATCTGACAAAGGGAATTATCTATACAATTTTAAACAAATTTATGACTGATTCTATGCCAAGATTTCAACCTATTCTCAAATCATGTTTAATTACTAGCCTGATTAAAAGAAAACCATTTTTAAACATGATTTTTTTCACTAAAGAGTTAAATTTACCTTAATGACTAGTCATTTAAAATTTCCTAACAGATAAAATATAATGCAACGGAGAAGGTATTATACTGAAAGTGAGATCTGGTTTAAGACAGAGTAACCACTAAGTAACTAGTTATATTTACTTGTTGGACTTGGTTAATTATGCAGTCTCCTTAAATAAAAAACAAAAAGGTTCAAAGTTCAATGTTTCTAGTTCTTCATAATTTTCTAATTTGCAAAAGAAATGAAATGAGACTTTTTTTTTTTGAGACAGGATCTCACTCTGTAGTTCAGACTGGCCTTGAACTCACTATGTAGCCCAGGATGGTTTGAACTAGCAGTGACCCACCTGCGTCAGTCTCCAGAGTGCTGAGATTACAGGCATGCACCACCACGCCCGGCAAGACCTACATTTTTTAAAGTGTTGCTCTGATATACTTATTTTAATCAAATTCTGATGTAGACATTACTTATAATCAGATATCAGAATTTAGTTTTTAAAATAATACACTAAAAGAATTCTCAGAATGGATTGGCTATATTCTAGGTTTTAAAATTTCTGAACTTGTAAACATAAAGATAAAATAAGCAAATGGCAAATACAAAATATGAGACAGTTCAAAAACTTTTTAGATGAGCATTCATTTTGTTTTAAGAATATTCTTGTCAAGAAAAGTTGTTGGTTTTGTGTTTCTCTTATTTTAGGAGTGGTGTTGAGAACACTTATGGAAATAAACTGTGCTGTATTAGACTTTTAATATCAACACATCATTGTCCTTTTTTGGGTATTGCTTAGCTAGTGCTTTAGCTAGTGCTATTGCTTAGCTAGTGCTTTGGCATTGCTTAGCATAGTTGCTTTACTGTTAAGGCAGGCTCTATTAAAACTTTATATTCATTTTTTGGGGAAGGGTAGGTAAAGATACTGTTCTGTGTAGGATAGCAACATGACCTGGTTATTTTGGAAACTCTAATCCTATAATATTATAATTAATTTGATAAAACATACAAATAATGATAGGCAAATTAATATTAAGTATTATTAAAACAAAAACAAGTCCAGCCTGAGGTTGGGGAGGGGGGAGATATAAACCAAGTAAAATGCTAACATTAGGGCTGCCAGGGATAAAAAGTAGTGAAAGAAGGCAAGTTCTTTGTAGGATGGAAGAGTTCTATATGTTCATGATGGCAGTGGTTACCTAACTCTACCCATGTGATAAAGTGACACAGAACATACACACACATACTGCACATATTGCACTTACTTTTACACTTTATTAGTAGTATATAAGATGTAACCAGGGAAACATTAGTGAAAGATACACAGGGCTTTTATGTAATATATTTGCAATATCCTGTGCAGTTATAATTATTTCAAATAAGTTGAAAAATATGGGTTGTGTAAACCTGTTTATAACCTCCCAAGTTTAATACACATTTAGAAAAGGACAGTTTTAGTTGATCTCAAAATAAACACGAAACATCCCAGAAGATTCAATTTATTCTACTTTTGGATCAGTTAGACCATTACAGTAGTTAGATTAAAAAACGAGTTACTGGACAAAACTTAGGTTTATGCAGTAACAATACTTCTGGATAAATCATCCAAGGTCTCTCATTAACATGTTCTATCTAGGGCTAGGGATTTAGCTCAGTGGTTTTGCTGCCTGCTGCACAAGTGCAAGGACCCGAATTCAATCCCCGGTACCAAAAAAACAAAAACAAAAACATGTTCTATCTAAATGATATCAAGTAGCAGTGGTGCTTAGAAGTAGTTCAGCGGAATTTTTCCTCTTCATATAGGTACATGACATTTTGAGGACATAACCAAAATTATAATAATGAGGTACTAAAATGAATTTTGTGGAAACAAAGAAGATGCAAAACAAAACACCTAAGCAAGAAAAGGCAAACTAAGAACATTCACAAATGAGGCAACTCAGAGAGAAAGCAATGGAATGAAGCATTTTAAAATAACATCAAGCAATGTGGTATGAACGATTACTGGAGAGACATAGCACTAAGGAAACAAGGTAAAATAACAAAGAACAGAAACTGAGACTGGAGACAGAAGATTTGGATTCTAGTTCTAGCTATACCACTGGTGACAGCCTTTCCAAAATGTTTCATTTTTTTTTAATTGAAAAAAATGGAGCATGGTATTAGATAATTGTTTTATTTTCTTTTAGCTTTAAAACTGTGATTCACAACTGAAATAGTCCCATCAAGCAGGCTAAGAGAAGCTGCTAGTAGTGACCAGCAGTCAAGAGAATTCACTGTCCTGCAGTGAAGAAAGTATGGTTTAAGTATTGATTTTTTTCCTCCCTGGTCCTGGGGATTGAACTTAGGACCTTAGGCATGCTAGGCAACTGCTGTACCACTGAGCTACATCCTTAGCCCTTTTAAATTTTGAGTCTTTCTAAGGTGCTGTGGCTATCCTTAAACTTGTGATCCTCTTGCCTTAGCCTCCCAGGTAGATGGGATTACAAATGTGCACCCCACACTCAGCCTCTCATATTGATCTTACTGTCAGTAATGGCACCATAAATAGTGTGACCTTGAAATTCAGTAGATAAAGATAAAACTAAAAACAATCAGAAGGTATTACTATTAATTTTTACAGTTGAGCCATGTTTTCAGGTAAAAGTATCTTAGAAAAAATACCATTAACAGTTACCAATAAGCTCTCTAATTCCTCAACCAGAGATACCACAGTTATAATACTGACAATTTTTTGGGAAAAAAAGCACAATAAAACTCAATGAGTACCAAAACTGGGATAGAACAGGCAGATCCAAAGTATGTAGTCATAATGGGAATTATAGAACTGTATTAAGTTTGAAAGCCATCATTTAATAATGCTAAAAAGAGGTGTAGGATATATTTTATGGAAAACAAAGAAAGAAAAAGGAAGAAAGGAAGGAAGGAAGAAAGAAAGAAGGAAAGAAAGAAAGAGAAAAAAGATAGATGAATGTACTACACCAGGTCTTTCTTAACACAATTTGCTATGCTTCTACCACTACAGGCTGTTTCATCTGAAAAATATGACTAATGGGAATATGTAACAGTATTACTTACTATATGACCAAAAAAGGATCTTGCTAGGTAGGTAGTCTAGGGTGGCCTCGAACTCACAGTGATCCTCCTGGCTGAGCCTCCTTAGTACTGGGACTACAGGTGTGTGCCACCACGCCCAGCAATGTGTTCACTATTTTAACCCGAATCAGAGGTACAGAGCCAAGTGAGGATCTTACAATTCAGTGATAGAGGTCATCCATCTCAGGACAAAATTACTATACATGTTCTTTATTAGGTCATCTGGAATATGCTTTTAGTCAAGTCTACATTAAGAAAGATGACAAGTTATGCTGTATGAACATAACAAAGTACATAATAAGATCAAATCAAAATGGGGCAAAAATGGTAAGCAGTGACTAACGCCAGTAAAATATGCACTAACTTATGTGGTTGAACATGAAGATTTAGTTGAAGGGATGAGGAAAAGGGGAGGGAGGCAAGAAAAACTTGCAATAAATGTCTCAATAAGAAAGCTTCATCTTTTGTAAATGTACCAAGTAGTTACCTTCCTATACCTAATCTGTAGGACTAAGAATACTGGTGGAAGTAGAAGTGAAAATGGGCTATGAGAGAGGAAATTTTGGAATCTGTATAGATAGTGCAGGCACCTGAGGGCAATTAATAGCCAGGGGGCAATATGAGGGCAAGGAAAGGAAGGTAACTAAGGGCAGATTCTACTTCCTGAAGCATTTTGCCCAAGCCACCTTGTGTCCAACCATCAGTAAAGCCAGTCATTGTGTATAGCAGGCTCCCTTGCCCATTAATTAAGTGCCAGCAATAAGCTGGCTTTAAAGTGATGGTTAAGTCATGCCCAAGAATAAATTACAATGGTGCACAGCAATAACATTAGATGTTTCTTGAAACACAGCTGAGAGTATAGGACCTATACTTTATACATTACTTCTATGGTATGTTCTCCAGCACACTAGTACTACAGGAGTTAAGATTCTCCTTATCTGCCCAACCCCCCAAAGGTTCTGTGGCCAAGTACATATGAGAATAAATTAAAATTAAATAGGATTATTTACTGCGGGATTCTTCAGAATCCTTAATGTCTGTGTTGTGAATCTCCAAGGGTAGTTATGGGGTTATAATATGAAGTACAGTTATTTCCCCCAAATTACTTTATCCTGGAACATCACTTTAGTAGACCATTACTGGGGATTAGTATTCAATGGAGCACATATTTTGGGAAAGGCTCTACATTTTTGTGTTAGTACAACTGATGACATTTAAGGTTAAGAAATGACACGGAGGTCAGGAATATGGTTTAGAAACGGTAATGTTCATGTAAAAAGGTTAATCTTCTAAACAGTGTTTTAACAAGTACTGAGTCAATTTCTAATTTAATGTAGGAAGAATAAGCAGCCAAACTAGCCTATTTTTTTTCCCAGATAAAAAGTGAAAGAGCAGACTTTAATATTAAACATACTGGACTAAAATTTGTGTTTAAATGTGCCAGGGATAAAGAACAAAAAAGGTAAGTCTTTTGTTACTTTCTAAAATTTCAGAGGATTCCAGGAAAAATATACCACAGAGGACTTGAAGGGCTGGCATAAATGCACTGGTTCCCATTATTTTTGAAAGCCCAACACTTACCAGATTTGTTTCAGTAATTATGATTGTACAATGTTCAAACTGCAAGAGGCTGTAGAAATAAGTAATTCATGCTCTTCATTTTTAGGTCAAGAGGCTAAGGGTTGGACTGACTTAAGCAGTTACAATCACCCTGTTCTCAAATTACCTATTTCTGTATTTGAAAATTAGAGGTAATTTGTTCACTGTATTCCAGGGATGTTAGTTAACAATCAAAATCATGTTTATCATTAAATCGTTTAAAAATATTAGAACAGTTATATATTAAGGAAAAAAATCAGTATGTGTAGACATATGTGTCCAGACACACATAAACACAGGTATCCCCACATGGGTATTTTTACCTGGAATTGATCAGATGTGCATGTGTTCATCTCTGCTGTCATGGTGGTTGTCTGACCAATGGAAGCAATTTTTTCTGCAGCAGATAGTGGTTTCAATGGTTCCTTGGTGGGCTCTAACATACCCTGCAAAGGGCATATTAGTCATTATTCAGGGAGGATTAACCCATAAACTTTGTAAGAGAATTAATGAAGAAGAGGAAGAGGAAGAGGAAGAGGAAGGAGGAGGAGAAATAGGAGGAGGAGGAGGAGAAGAAGAAACCCAAGTCATCTGGAAAGTACTAAAAGGCAAAAAGGGACCACTCAAAATTTCATTTACAGAAAATCTTATAGTAACATAATGGGAACTTTCACAATAACCTTTAGAATCAAAAGTTTTTAAAGTAAGGCCTTGCATTTAAAATGAGATGTCTTATACAGTATAGTTATTACTGTTACACAAAGATATTAAATGCAACTTGGGAGGGGATGTGGTAGGAATACAATGATTTATCACATCTAGGTTCTAAGAATCCAACATTTTTATGATGTTTAAGACTGAAATTGCAGAGAAGGTCAAACTTCATATATAGTGATGCCTAGAGAAATGAGAGCTGATTCTGAAACATGCCATATAATATCATAATGTCTACATAGTCTTTTGTGTGATATTTAGTGTTTGATTCTGAATCCTTAATTCCACTAAGGCAGTGAAGTACTTTTGTTTTTGTAGTGCTGGGATGGAACCCAGGGTCCAGTTAAGCTAAGTGCTAAGCATTTGCTCTACCACTTACTGCCCCTCTCCCCAATGCCCTAGTCTTAGTACTTAGTTCCCTGGATTGGCCATGTAAATGGGAAACCATCTTACATGTCTCACTAGCTTTGTTACAAATCTAATACTTTCTGATTTAAAGAAAGATACCCAGGATGGTTATAGAAAGAAAGAAGGAAAAACCCAGCACATTCCATCAATACTCTGTAATATATAAAACAGATAATCCAGGACAATGGCCTAAAAATGCAAAGTTTTACATATTTAAAAAATATCACTTGAAAGCCCCAGGTGTGGTGGTGCACACCTGTAATCCCAGCACTCAAGAGGCTGAGACAGTAGGATCACTGTGAATTTGAGGCCCACCTGGGCTACATAGTTCACGGTCAGCCCGAACTAGATAGCAAGAGGCCCTCTCAAAAGCAAAACAAAACAGGGGCTGGGGATTTAGCTCAGTGATGCCTCGTCTGCCTTGCAAGTGTAAGGGGTCCTTTGCTATACAATGAGACTCGGTCTCAAAAAGAAAAACAAAAGAAATAGAAAAAAAGAAAAAGTCTTCAGTAGGAGCTAGAAAAATGAAAGGAAATTCATAGTCTAAATACATTCATTATACATGCTCTCTAGTATGCTCTTATGCAAAAAGAAAATACATCTGACTAACAATTACTTGTGCCAGCCAAGTTTTCTAATGTGAAATATCATGTACCCAGGGGTTCTCAAATTGTTGTCTCCAATTTCAACTACTGTGTCAGCTTCTGGGAACTTAGATGTGAAAATTCTCAATCCCCAACCCAGACCAAGAGTAAGAAAACTCTGGAGGTGGTACCCACTAATCGGTATTTTAACAAGGCTTCTAGGTGACTTATGATCTGAAGGTACTATCCCTCCAGATAAGATCAAAGATTACTGAACAGTGGGAAAAATTTAAGTAGCATTAAAATTTCATATTAAAAAGAGTAAGTTTCTAAATGAAAGACATCACAGGATAGACATTTATATTCACTAAATAAACTTTGACTGTTTTTTCTTTCTTTTTTCCACGCCCCCCCCCGGTACCAGGGATCGAACTCAGGACCTTGTGATTGCAAGGCAGAGGCAGTGCCCCTGAGTTAAATCCCCAGCCTACTAAATAAACTTTGTATTAGATGTTATAAAATCATCCTAATAAAGGTGATAAAGTAGAAAAAGTGTAAGCTTCAGCCTCTAAATTCTCATAAATCTCAAAGAACCTACGAAAGTGCTGAGGCATAAGTATGTCACTGCCCCCAGCACCCTGAATGACATTACTATTTACATCAGGACAATATAACACTAACCATCTCTGGAGTGCTACTTATTGAGGAAAAAAAAAAATCCAAATAATCAAAAAGTTAAAGAAAAGTTCTGGGTTGTCTGGTCCTACAACAGAAGAGAATACAGGGATCATTAAGATGTTTTAGAAATGCAAGGTAACCATTTACAAAGGAGCAGAAATTGACAAGAGAACTCAAGGACAGAAAGTTCCACAAAATTGCAAAACTGAAACAAACTGAAAATGTTCCAACTCCATACCAATAATTAAGTGTTTATTCATGGCAAAGGTTTGTACATAAAAGAGAGGTTAAGTTCCATACCAAATGCACTTTTACATGTACTTAGAGTGGTAAATTTTAAATTCAATGCCAAGAGTTCCTTATTTTTTTCTTTCATTCTAACTGATTGATTATAATAACATAATATTTTTAGTTTGACAGGTATTTTTATTCACCAATTAATGACACACCAAAAAACACAAAAATCAAACTTTAAAATGTGATTGAGTCTTGACAAAGAACAGAATGAAAATGCCTCAGTGTTTCTGGACTACCTAGCATACCTGAAAAAGCAAAGTTTAAAACATTTAAACATATTAATGGAAAAACTAAGAAAGAATTATGTATCGTGCCGGCTCATTTCCATTTACTATGAATTGGTATTTTGAAGGTTTTATGTACACCTGTAGCCTCAATACTGGATTATTTAACATTAATAACAACTGGATTAAAACAAAAATCTTTAAGCCTTCAGGTATTTCAGCTTCATTTTAAAAACAAATTTACAGAAGAAACAAAGTCCTTCAAAGGTGCGTTTTACAAAGATTTGTTAGCACTTATATTACCAAGATAAAAATAATTTTTAACCTAAAATGAAACAGTATCTATAATGAATGGAATAGAAAAATGTCCTGAGATAAAGAGATTTATAAAATCAAAAAGAATGACACATACATCTACACACCCTTAAGATTCCAACATGAAATGCCTCTTAACATACACTTCTATGTCTTACTGTATATGATGATTTTACAGAGAAAATGCAGTAATGATAAATACATGCAGAGACATTTCTGTACTTACCAATCCTGCTGCATACATGGGCACTATAACAGGCTGCTTTTTATTGCCCGTGAAGAGCTACAAACATGTGAGAGAGAAAGAATATATATTGAGAATTTAGAAGATGGTCTGTCATATAGTGAAAGTCTCCAAAATATGTTTACAATGCTTTATTACATACATGGTAAATGACGAATCAAATAAACTGCTAAATTTCTCATAAGGTTATATATTTTTAAATCTCCTAGTCCAATTCATTTTACAGTTAAGGGAAAACAGTAAAACAATTTCTTCTAAAAATAAGAAATACTGCTTAGAGAAACATTTAAACAGACTGTTATTTAAAAATCACCATATTCAAAATAAAGGAACATTTAAACTAATTAATATTTTTCTGAAGAACTAGCTTATCAGAGCTTGAACAGAAGTATAAAAATTTTTTAAAACATCCCTAAGTTGAGTAAAGGATTTTTCAAAGTACTAAAAAACTCACAATGTTTCGAGTGTCTATTCCTAAGGAACACAAAAGCTTCTTGTTGCTATGGGAGCCACCCCACTGGTATCTCAAGCCATGTGCATCATGGATATCCTGTAGTTCAGTCCACACATCCAGCAGTTCCCTGCAAAGGCCACGATGAAGACACCAACAATAGGTTACCTGAGAGCTTTTACCACTTTTAATATGATTCTGACATACTGTATAATTCAAATGAACTTGTGTCTAACATAAGTGAACTACTGTTATCTGAATGAAATCAAGAGCCAACATTTAGGCATTTAAAAAGTACCTAAGTTAAACTCTTAAGAAACAATATGGGGCCAGGGATTTAGCTCAGTGGTTCCAGCGCCTGCCTTGAAAGCGCAAGGTCCTGAGTTCAATCCCCGGTACCAAAAAAAAAAAAAAAAGAAACAATATGAACTGTACTATTCCTTTTATATTATGCAAGAAAAAAAACTTCAAAGGAAGAAATTACTCAGCATTCTGCCATCTTAAAATAGCTATGATTTGTGTTTTCTCGGAGTCTTCATCCACAAACATACAATTGCAATTTTAGCATTTTATACAATTTTCTATTCCTTTTTTTAGATTTTAAGCATGTCCTAACTTACGTATGTAAAGTAGTTGCCCTTTATCTGTGCTTTCACTTTCTGTGGTTTCAGTTACCTATGGTCAGCTATGGTCTGAAAATATTAAAAGGTTCAGGAAATAAATAATTCCTAACTTTTAAGTTGAGTGCTGTTCTGAGGATTCACCTTACTTCATTTTAGCAACATAGTCATTGTATCATCTCACATTATCACAGAAGAAAGGCAAATACCATACAATGAAGATATTTTGAAAGAAATACTCATACAAATTTTATTAAAATATATTAGTTTATATATTTTATCATCAGTTACTGTTTTAAATCTCTTACTGAGCCTAATATATAAATTAAACTCTGTGATAGGTATGATTGTATAGGAAACAACAGTATTTATAAGGGGTTTAATACAATCTGAAGTTTCAGGCATCCACAGGGTTTTGGAACATATCCCCCATGAGTAAGAGTTAAGTCACAGGCTACTGTGACTTTTTTTTTTGGTACCGGGGATCAAGTTCAGGACCTTGCACTTGCGAGGCAGGTGGCAGAACCACTGAGCTAAATCCCTGGCACTACTGTGACTTTTTCAATGGCTGTGTAATGTTCTATTAATTTGATGCACCATCATTTATTTAGCTGCAACACTACAGTTCCCAGTAAATTAGTTTTTACTATTTGGCTATTATTAGTATGATTGCAACTATGTATATTTTATAGTATGTGTTGTTATATGACTGTATTATTTTTTAAGGAAGAATCTCCTGGAGGCTGAGCATGGTGACACACGCCTGTAGTCCTAGCACTCAGGAGGACTGCTGAGTTTGAGAATAGCCTGGGCTACATAGTAAGTTCAAGGTCAGCCTGAATTACACAGCAAGACCTTGTCTCCCCCCTGCCAAAAAAACTCTCTCAGAGAAAGATAATTGGGTCCAAGAGTATGAACTCACATTAAAAAAAAAAAAAATCACACATTTTAAACAGTTTTAAGGTAGAAAACCAAACTTGTTTTTTGTCCTCTTTCCTCAGAAATCATCGCAAAACAAAAACCAAGAAACAGAAACACAATCTCAATCTTCAGTGAAATCAAGGGATACCTAAACCCCTTTGACACTGAGGTCACAAAGAAGGATGAAGGAGTAGTAACTGACTGAGATGAATGCAAGGAGATACTAGCAGAAGGAAAGGATGCTTCCAGAGGTGGAGAGTGATAAAATGCAAAAGAATGGCTCAAGAATAACTGAAATTAAAATCAGAAAACCAGTCTAGACCCTCTAGCATTCAATAAATACAGAAGTTCCAGAAAGAGAAGACAGAGATCATGGAAGAATAACTGTCAAGATACAATATAAAAGAATGGTCCTTGGGGCCAGGGATTTAGCTCAGTGGTTTTGCTGCCTGCTGCACAAGCGCAAGGACCCGAGTTCGATCCCCGGTACAAAAAAAAAAAAAGGTCCTACCCAGTAGTCATCAATGCAATGGGTAGAAAAACCAATACATCAAGATACTTCACGTAAAATTTTAGAACATTAACAACAAAGATCTTAAACTGTAAGCTTAATGTGAGAGTAGAATAAAATAAAATGTTTTTATTTCTCATATATTTTTCCCTCAGGAGGTTATTAGAAGATGTGCTCCACCAAAATGGGATCTGACCAAAGAGAAATCTCAAGAAAACACATATGTAAGAGGCCTAGACTGAAACCATTCTAGATAGGAAGACTATAGAAGGGGGACAACCCCCCCCCCTCAAAAATGACAGATAATCCGATAGGCTTGATCACAAGTAAAAACTGTGATAAGGAAACACGTGTTTGGAATATTTGCAGTGACTTTAGCAATTCAGCATCCCTAATATGAAATTTTTTTTTTTCAGTACTGGGGATCGAACTCAGGACCCTGTGCTTGGGAGACAGGCATGGTGCCATTGAGCTAAATCCCTGGCTGAACTGCTTTAAAATTGGGGAAAAAAATATTTTTGAGACTGAAGGGGTAGGTGGGTAGGTGGGTAGGGGTGTGTGTGTGTGTGTGTGTGTGTGTGAGTGTGTGATGCCCAGGCTAGCCTCAAACTTCTGGGCTCATATGATCCTCCTGAGTACTGGGACAAATGGAATATGTCACTGTGTCCAAGCAAAATTGAGAACTTTTTGAGTATTGCACATTAAGGTTCAAAAATTTTTGGCTTTCAAATTTTACATTTTCAGAATAGGGCTGCTCAAAGTCTACAAAGTTCACTGAACAAAATTTACATGATTATAATATTCAAAATACAAAAAAGAAAATTAATCAAAAATGTCAATTTAAGTATATTGGGAAGATGAAGGCAGAATAATACAGGTAAAATCTAAATTCTCATTGATCATACTAGGAAGTTAAATGAATATATAACACTGATTAGAATATTGATTTATATCAAAATAGCTCAAAAGTAGAGGAGTATTTTCAATATGTTAGCACATGATTAAATTTCAATATATACTGAAATTTTAAGGCCATTAAGGTCTTAAACATTAAGTTGTAAGATAATCTTATAACAGCTAAAATTACAAGACCACATGCTATATAAAAAAAGTCTACTACTTACCCACTTTCAGCTAAGGCCTCTCTTGTTTTTATTGGCAAGGTGCTTGTCTCCAGCAAGTGCTTCAGGGAAGTAACTTCCTCTTCAGCATCAGGGACAGATATGGAAGGAAAACATCCTTCAAAAATTTGCTCCAGGCGGTTTAGTAAAGCTGTCTGGATCAAAATACCCCCCCAAGTTTATTTTCATTAATCCAATTTTAATAAAGTCACAGTTTTATCATTACCACACACACATACATACACATTCATGCACACACTTTGTCCACTACTGTAAGAGTGAGGGAAACCACCACTCACGTAGAAAACACTAAGTGAAAGGAACATAACTACACAGAACATTACTCTAAATGATTATCTTAAATGATCATAATGATAATATAGTAGGTAACAAATATAGCTACACGCTAGACACTGTTACTGGTATTTTATATACATTATCTTAATCCATTACAAAATTCTATAAAGAAAAAATTATTACTCTATTGTATAGTGAGAAGCTAATCTCACAATCTGAATAATCTGCCCAAAGCCAAACCAAAACACTAGAGAGCATTCATATTCTTTCCATCACTCCCATATTCTAGATTTAAGAGCAATGAGATTAGATTCTTATAAAAATTATGCTTTTGTGGCTGATCAGAACCTTTTTCTTGAATATAAACACTTAAATTGTGAAAACCTTTTTGAAATATCTCTGTCGCCAATACTACAAATCAAAGTAGAGAAGAATGTCTCAACTTTTACTGATAAGCTCAAGGGCTCATTTATCATTTTGATGATCTGCATTTTATCTTCTAAAAACTCCATTTCTCTCTACTTTTCTTTCTTGTATATGTATACATGCTTTTTTTTTTGGTACCAGGGATCAAACTCGAGACCTTGCACTTGCGAGGCAGGCGGCAGAACCACTGAGCTAAATCCTCGGCCCTGTATACATGCTTTTGAATAAAAACTACCTTCCCTCCAAGTAAAGCTGCATATTCTCTAGAGTATTTCCACTACCAACAGACAAATCCATTGGCATTTAAAAATATTTTTATTAATTCAAATTTTCATATTTAGATCACTGTTTTGGTGTCACCAGGATTATACATATGCAATCTAAATATTTATTCCTATTTTCCAAACTGTATTTTAATAATGTAAGATATTTTCAAATTCAGCTCAATTCACTAAACATCAAATAGGAATACAAACTGTTAATAAGTTGAAGCCTTTTGCAAGATTAAATGTACTACTGAATTGGTACCTAGTGTACAAGAAAAATGCCACATCATTGTAATACTTCCTGCCAAGTAACAAAAACAAGTTAATGCTTGATTTGTTATGTAGTATAGGCAGCAACCAAGAAATAGAAAAAAACAAAAGGAAACATTTTCATAAATATATTTTCCAAACCAAAATTTCTTTCAGAAGCTATACTACAGCAAAAAATTCAACACTGCATAATTAGTCTCAGGGTACTCTTCAGTTAACTCTATAAAAGTTACTCTAACATCTTCATTATATTCATGTGTGTGATGGGAAAAGGTTTTCACTCTCAATTATGAACCCTAAAGTAAAGGGTAGACTCGAGATCCCAAGGCTTGTGAAACCTGAGTGTGTCAAGGGGACCTGGCACCTCCTCGCTTCAACAGAGGGGATGCACAGACATTACTTTGAAAGGGATCGTATAACTACCTAATTGGAAACCTGATGAGTGTTTGTTCCTTCTGGGCAGCAAAGGTAAACAAAAGCTCACATTGGACCAAATTTTATTTTTCTGTAAATGAAATCTTTCTTGTATCCTCTTTGTTATCCTTTAAAAAGGATCGGAAAAAAATGTTTATCACCAAAAGAAAGAAATGATCCTAAAACATTCAATCAGCAATATTACACATAACTACTAGGTCTTAGGTATAGCAGTAAACAAATTCTCAAGTGAGTGGAATGTAATGAAGGAAAAGAAAGAGTACATTAACCTAATCACCTCAATTTTTTATTCTTCAAACCTTTTCTCATAAAGGATATAAATATATGGGAAAAAATTGTGTGTGTGTGTGCATGTATGTGTGTGTTTTGTATACTGCAGGATCAAACCCAGGGCCTTGTACATGCCAGACAAGCATTGTACCACTGAGCTACATCCCCACCCCTTTTTATTGAGATAGGTCTAAATTGCCCAAGCTGCCCTTGAACTTTGACCCTGATTACCTGGAATTACAGGTGTATGCCACCACGCTACACTTACATGAAAATTTTAAAAGAAAGTTTCATATATCTTTAGGATTAGATATAAAACTCAAAAGCTTCAAGTCTTTTGTTGAATGAGGTAGAGCAGAGGTTGGCAATCTTTTCAACAGAAAGCCAGGTGGTAAATATTTCAGGCTTTGCAGTTCATTTGTAAACAAGTTAAGTGTGAGTGTGCTCCAGTGAAATTTTATTTACAAAAACTGGCAGCAGGACAGATTTGTCGCTTGGACCATACTTTGCTAACCTCTGAGGCAGAGCAATAAATAAATATGAAATAACCAGAATTTACTAACAGTATCACCTACCACAAGGAAAGTCCTCAATTCAGTAAGATAGCAGCTAAGAAAATGAAAGAAGATTTTGATTAAATTAAATCTGTTCTGCACTTTACTTTTAAAAGTATATCAATTTCCAGCTATCTATGAGACCAATTCGATGGTAAAGTCATCCTGTAAATATAATTTCTACTATGTTGTTCATGACAATAAATATCACATTTCTTTCATTAGCAGTTAATTACATTAAGTAAATGGCTGATATAATTACATTACTTTAATAGAAGGGTGGGGAACCAGGGGATCAGACTCAACTTCTGCATTTACAATCTAGAGCTATCAGCGTCTATCTCACAGGACAGAGGATAAATTAAAAACCTGACACCCAGTGCATGTCAGAGGTGGCAACTTTTATTACTACTACAGTTGTTATACAGGTGATACATACAACAGTGGCCTGCTGGAGAATTATGACAGTTGAAGCTCACTGAGTATATTTTTCTTACCCCTATTTAGCATTCTAAATCATAATGAAAATACTTTCTCAATCTATCAATTCCTATCATATTAGGATTTAACAAGAAATCAAATCAAAGTATTCTGTGTGTTCTCCCCAAGAGCTTTCTGTTGAGTAAATGAGGAAAGCACTGGTTTTCAAGTATGCATTTTTTTTTTGGTACTGGGAATCGAACTTGGGACCTTGCACTTGTGAGGCAGGCGGTGGCACCACAGAGCTAGATCCCCTGCCCATCAAGTATTCCTTTTTAAGACCTTCTTATTTAAAGAGAACCTGTTACTGCTATTCCTTGTAGATTTTAAACTTTGGATACTGCTGGTGGCTTAATGGCTTTTGTATGTTAAGTCTTGATTGCATTATGAAACAAAGTGTATGAAGCATGTAGTAGCTGTATTTAAGTCTTTGCTTCCTCAAAGCACAATAAAGTTAAAAGATCAAAAAGGTGACGGAACACAGTCTAAATAATTTGCTAAGTAGAAAAGGTGCAAGAATACTACTATCATGCTCAGAAGAAAAGAAATTAAGCTACCACAAAGTGGTCATAGTTTCTCTTCTGATCAGACAGGTTTCTTTCAAGAAACAAATATTCCTGGGGGCTGGGGATTCAGCTCAGTGGTTCCACCGCCTACCTTGCAAGCGCAAGGACCTGAGTTCAATCCCTGGTACCAAAAAAGAAAACTTAAACAAAAACTAAGAAAGAATAAAAACCCCTTTCCCTTGCAAAAAACCCCAAAAACCCCAAAAATTCTGAAAGAGCTTGTAATCAGACACTAAAAAACAAAAACAAAAATCTGTCATTCTGAACATAAAATATAGTATCACATCAAAAATGGAGTTAATACAGTAAAATATGAAATGTGGATATATTCCAATGTCTATAAGTAATAAGGAACTTTGTTTCTATTACCCTGCTTACATAAATTCATGATGGTCTACAAAGAAACATACCCGGCTATAATGAGAAATTTGCTCCTGCTTTTGATTCAATGGGGCACCACCCATTTTAAAAAAACTCTATAGCTCAGACAAATACTGCATTGGACAGAGACTCTAATATAATCCAGAACATGTGGACTTGCATTAGATATAAAATTTCAAAAATATATTATTTATAATTAGTGGTAAGTCAGATGGCTGAGTTCTAGTTTCCTTACGCAGTAAGGTAGCATATGTAGAGCCAATATTAGTATAACACAGTTCAGGAAAGTGAGGGACTAAATTTAACAAAAGAGTAAAAGATGTTCTCTGAACATCCTCAAACTACAAAAGCCTGAGATGGAAGCATTATAGTTTCTGTTTAATACCAAGACACAGCTTACATGTACAAGACATTATTCTAAATACAAATATTAACCTGTTTATGACTCATAAGATCCATATGATCGCTTCTTGGCCTTTTGGCTAAGATCAAGTATAGATCCATATGAAGGAGGTAAGAATATTATTCCCATTTTCTAGATAAGAAAAATGGAGCACAGAGAGTAAATTAATTTGCCTGTGATCAAATAAATATTAAATGGGGGAGGCCGAATATGAACTCAGGAATACAGTTTTCAGAGTAGGTGCTTTTCTCTACATTATATGTTGTTATCAAAGCAGTTCTAAATTCAATTTCTGAAAAATTAGAGTCTTTGAGGGCATGGACTATGTCTTATTCTTAAATCTCTAGTACTCAGGTTCCTGCACACAGTTGGTATAAGAATATTAACTATGTCAAATCACATCAAAACTAGAGTCAATAAAGTATAAAATGTTAAACCTGGATGTATTCTAATGTTTATAAGCAGACATTAGAAGCATAAGAATAGGAAGAAAAAGCACTTCACTTTAATGCTGAGGTCTTAACTATTTTACTTATGAAAGTATATCTTGTTGTAAGCCATCTATATCCTTCTTATATATAGGTAGGGCATATTTATATAATTATAACATGTTCATAACAATAGCCGAATGCTTTCTATGTACCATTCTATCCTTGACAACGTACATTTGATCCAAAGTCTGATTCTGAAGCCTACATTCTTTTTACCAAATCATGCTTTTCCCAATTTTTTTGGTTTCTCAAACATTTCTAGCCATTAGATAAGGCATCTCCTGTTAACTGCAGAGGTTTTGACGATACTTTAAAA